ATTGAAGAGATAGATAATTGAGTCAAGCGAATAGTAGGCACCGTAAGTAAAGTGTGAATCACTGTGATTCATAGCGTATGTTATAAAGGTTGTTAAGTTTAACGTGTCTTTAAACTAGTTTAAAAGGAAAGGACTTATATGACACTTGTTCCAGAAAGAGGTGCTGAAACTGATCCTAACAAGGTGAAAGCAGTACATGCTTGGCCAACACCAGACAATGTGGGAGAGTTGAGAAGTTTCTTGGGAATCTGTACCTATTATCGGAAGTTTGTGAAGGACTTTGCAACTATAGCTGCTCCACTACACGATTTGACAAAAAAAAGCCAGAAGTTCGAATGGACAGTTTCTTGCCAGCATGCTTTCAAGACATTGAAAAAAAATTGGCCTCAGCTCCACTTTTAAAGTTTCCAAATCCCTCACTGCCATACATACTGGATTTTGATGCTAGTAATGTCGGAATTGGAGGAGTGTTGTTACAGAAAGTTGGTGAAAACGAACATGTGGTGGCCTACTTCAGTAGGGTCTTGAGTAGACCAGAGAGAAACTACTGTGTAACACGGAGGGAACTCCTTGCTATAGTAAAGAGTTAGACATATTTCCATCCTTACCTATATGGGGCTAGGTTTACCATCAGGACAGACCATGTTACATTACGCTGGTTAAGATCATTAAAGAACCCAGAGGAACAACTGGCACGTTGGATCGGAAAGATAGACCAGTATAATTATGATATTGAATATAGAGAAGGAAAATCTCATGGAAATACTGACGGACTGAGCCGAAGACCCTGCAAAAATGACTGCAGACATTGCTACAAAAGAGAGGTTGAACTACCCAGGTGACATCAAGCTGAAGTCTAAGTGACTGAAGAAGTTGATGGTGGTGAAGTGGAACCAGGTATAGATATTAAAGCAGAACAGGAGAAAGGCCAAGATTTGAAGCCAATAATTGATTTTCTACAAGCAAGTGTTCTGCACCCTGCTTGGAAGAAGGTGTCTAGCTTAAGCCCTGTGACAAAGAACTATTGGGCACAATGGAACCAGTTGAAGCTTAAAGATGGTATTCTTGTCCGCAGATGGAAAACTGCAGACAGGAAAGTGGCGACCTGCCAAACAGTTATACCGAGAAAGTTACGAGAAGTTGTGCTGCGTCACTCCCATGATAGTTTAACAGGAAGACATCTTGGAGTTAAGAAGACATTGAGTCACCTACGGCAGAGATTTTACTGGATAGGTATGAGGCAAGATGTGGAAGAATGGTGCAGGACCTGCAGTACATGTTGTGCTGAAAGGGGGCACAAGCATAAGGCACGTACTCTGAAGAACTTATATCAAGTTGGTGCACCAATGGAAAGAGTAGCCATTGACATTGCCGGTCCATTGTCCCAAACTCGTGCTGGAAACAGATACATTTGTGTGGTGATTGATTATTTCACCAAATCAGGAAGCTATAACTGTACCTTCGGCTATTAGCGATTTCTTCTTCAAGTTTGGTATGCCATACGAACTGCATTCTGTGTTCCATGAATGCTGCAAGTAGTTTGGCACACGAAAGACCAGGACAACGCCACTTCACCCACAGTCTGATTGGATGGTAGAAAAGTACAATTGGAAACTGGGACAGGAACTGGCAAAGTTTTGTAATAGCCACCAAGATGACTGGGATGTCTTACTCCATCCACTGTTGGTGGCCTATAGAACAGCAGAGCATGAAGCCACTGGGTACACTTCAGCAAAGCTGATGTTTGGTTGGGAACTTCGGTTGCCAGTGGACCTGATAACAGGACGCCCACCTTACGAAGAGTTTCCTGAAAATGTGCCAGAGTTCGTGAAAGTTTGATCTAAAAAGATAGATGATATTCATCATCAAGTGCGTTCAAACATAAAAACGTCTGCTGATTCCATGAAGCTATGTTATGATAGGAAATCTACTGAAGTCAGCTTTGTACAAGGAGACAAGGTGTGGTTGTATAATCCCAGAAAGACCAAAGGGAAGTCTCCTAAATTGTCTTCTCCATAGGAAGGCCCATATGACATAATAGATCGTCTCTCAGACGTGACTTTCCAAATAAAACGTGGTCGGCGATGTAAGCCAAAGATGCTGCATGCCAACAGGCTTTGCCATTATCATGGTCCAGGTCATTTCAGTTGGAACAAAGTGAACAACGGAACAAATTATGCTGCTGAAGACGTGTCACCTGAAAAAGCCACTGTTGAAAATGAAACTCTACCCGGTTTTGAGAAGGAAAACTGTGAAGCCGTTAATGAAGTTACTTCAACTGATGTGACTGCTACCGATAATGGGACATCTCCTGATGGAACAAATAAACCCCACATGAAGCAGAAGCCAATGAGATGGAGACCAGTACGAAAGAAGAAACGTCCTGTAAAATTAAGAGAATTAAGAGTGTTTGTAAATTCTGTACATTTAATTAAATTATTGTTAATTATCTATTTGTTAAATGTAAGTGGCTATTGTTCATGACGAACAATACTAAGGAAGAGGCAGTGCTACGACAGCGGAAGTCACGCGACGCTGGGAGCATGGGCGCTGGAGTTTCTCGAAGGATAATGAATTATCGAGGAACCTCGTGAATGTACGAGTGTTTGCTAGACGCCCTCTTTTTTTAGTATATAAGCCTCCCGAGCAAAACCAGCGGGATCGGCAGATTGATTGAAGAGATAGATAATTGAGTGAAGCGAATAGTAGGTACCGTAAGTAAAGTGTGTGAATCACTGTGATTTACAGCGTATATTATAAGGGTTGTTAAGTTTAACGTGTCTTTAAACTAGTATAAAAAGAAAGGACTTATATCGCTGAAGTTCCTCGGAAATAATTTCTACCGGAAATTAACAAACAAGCAGATACCCAACAATAATTTAGAAATTTTGAAACTGAAAATTCAAATTTCAATAACTGATCAGTACGAATGAGCCCCTAAGAAGAACGCACCGTGTAATTTGAGATTTCAGATGTGCCTCTGAACATAATCATAACGAAAAACATTGTTCTGAAAAGCTTAGTGCTTTTACAGAATTAGCATGAATGTTTCTTACCTTATGATCTGGTGTCTTCCAATGAAGTAAATCCACAACTTGTCAGTATGATGTCTCTCTAAAAACTGAAGTAACTTTTCTGTAACAAGCCTATTACATATGACCTCACCCATGACACAACGTTGTCTTGTCGGCGCTTATGACGTTCATACTTCTCTGTCTATGATACCGGCAGCAGATTGACCCTGACAACGCTGTCTCATGGGATGTCTGCAAGACCACGTCAGTCTCTTTGATGACCTGAGTGAAAATTGCCATGTCCAATATCCAAGAAGCCGCCGTGGAAGCGACTTTTTCAATAATTACCTACATGGTAGGTATCTAGAGATTTTAAGTAAAGCTGCTGACAAACTTGGCGACTTTTATTACAACTGAAAATTAAGTGTATTAAGTAGTGTGAAATTGTGAAGTGAATAAAAAACTTGTAAATTCATATACATATTCTGAATGAATAAAGAAAGAATTATGTAACCCACACTCCCATAGCCGTGCACCTTACTATTTACGCTCCTATAACATATACACATCCACATTAATTACAACAGCACTGACGGCAGTACAGTGGGGCCAGGAAACCAGGTTAACATTAACACACATTGCACATATGTTTCAGAAATTTATGCTAACTAATTTTATTGCCCTCTAGTGGTTGAAAGCATAATTCGTTAACTGCAGGATGACGTCATTAAGTATAACTGTCGTTCGTTAAACTACACGGATTAGAAGACAGATGTTAATATTACTTCACTCAAATGCTTATTTTTTTATAACTGTCTTGCACATTCTGTTTTAAGTTATCTTTCATTTATTTCTCATGCGTTAAGATGTCAGGATTCGACAGCAATCCTTTCGCTGATC